CGAGGAATACGAATCCGTCATGGCGTAAAGCCGCACAAGAGCGCCGAGGAGAGCGACAATGTTAGTTCATGTGCCTGACCCCGGCTGCGACGTATACCCGCACTGCTGTTAGAACTCGACGGTGAGGAGTTCGGCTTCCTTCGACAATACGGGCCGCGGGCTGATCAATCATATAATTGACGCCGGGCCGTGCGAAGGCGCATAGCGGCACGGCGAAAATTGTAGGCCGAGCCCACGTGAGTTTTGCTCAGCCCCTGGAATTCGCATGCGACCGCAGCTTGTTCAACCTGCTGATGCTTCCATCGGAGGTGGTGGAGGATACGTCCACGGCGGATGGGACTGAGAACGCTGGAGTGAGGTCCGATCCGACGAGGCCGCCGAAGTCGGCATAGAATACCCCGCGGTCTAGAGGGCTTCTAGGATCGCTCGCCTCTCTGCCCGCTCTCGCATCACAGGTTGTGGGATTCTCCTGTGGTCGTATTTTCTATTAGCTTTTCCTTCCTCCCCCCTCCTGTCTCGGGCTCCCTGTCAGCACATCGCTGGCCCGGTGCCGCGTGCCCGCCGCATGCTGGCATGCGTCGCCCTCGTAGCCCCTCCTGCGCCGCCCCACCCGTCCCAGCAGTGATAGCATCCACTTGGCTCCAAGCGTCCGCCGCCATTGCGACAGGCCCGCCGCCGTTACGACAGATCCGGTTTTTTTCCTGGCTTCCCGCGATGACCCGTGAGATGAGTGCATCGGCTGGTGCATCGTCGCGGTGTCCCCCTTCGCCTCCTCCGCCCCACTCTCCGCAAACAAAAACAAAAATACCCCGCCTCTGAGTGAATGGGCCTGCGTGGATTGCAAGTTCCCCTGTCCTTCGCCCAAGCACTGGCATGTTCTAAATTCCTCGGACGGTTTTGCGATAGGCAGGATTAAGAATTTCAACGTCAATTACAGCATCATCGTCGAGGGCCTGGTTCTGGACAAGGTTGGCAAACACACCTGATGGTCCACGCGTCCAAGGGCGACGCGCATGATCTCGACTCCCGTGCGTTGGAACTTGCGGAGTCAGCGGGCGAGGGCAAGCATTTCGTTTGCCGCGAGGCCGTGGCTCGGCTTACCCAGTCCAGCTGGCCCAAGTGGCCTGCGTTTGGGCCTCGCACCACGGCGCGGGTCTGTCGCGCCATACGCGATGGCGGCACTGCGCCGAGGCCGAAGCGCACGGAGTGGAAGGATGAAATTTGATCGACCTCCACGGGCCACGCCGCAGCTGACGGGGAAGTTCGCATCCGGCTGTCACAAACAGCCGCGCAATAACGATGCCGACGTCTCAGAGCAGGCGCGCCCCGGCACCGCGAGACGCGAGGGGGCGCCCGGCAGGGCCCAGGCCCAGGGCGAGCTGCTGGAGGACGAACACCCTTACGCGGGGATGGGCGAGAGGAAAGGCCAGCTGATGAGATGGCCACAACGCGCGCCCCAAGCAGGAGAAGATTGTCAGAAGAAGGCCCGGGCGCTGAATGTGCGCCGTAAGCTGCGAGACGAGAGCGCGACTTGCGAGCTGGAGGCGCCAACGGCGGCAGAGGCAAGGGCGGGGCGCGCGGGCCAGGGCGGGCCGGCAGCAAGGCCGAAAACAAACTACGGAAGAGCCAGCTGGCCGCCGGCAAGGACGGCAAGGGCGGCGATGGGGGCGAGAAGGCATTGTTTCCGCCCCAAGGCGACGCGCGCTGCTCGGGGGCCTCTGCTTTCGCCGCGCGGCCGTCTCCGACCGCGGCCGTGCGCCGCCCCATCCAGCGCGCGTCGGAGACGTTCGTCGGCCCTGCAGCGACGGGCCGTGGGTCATTGGACCCGACGCGTTCGTCGCGCACTCAATTGGCTGCGCGGCCGCTGCGAAAGCGGCGCTTTCTCCAGCGCATCTGCGTCCCAGGTCGAGAGCACCTCCCGCTCGCAGCGCCGCGGCGGCCCAGCGGGGGCAGCGGCGCCGCCAACTCGGCCGCGATCTCGAGCCAGGCGGGGTTCGGCACTGGCGAGATCTGTCGGCGCTTGCTGGGAGTCGGCGCGCGGCAGCCGTCTGGATCAGCGGCAGTTGCTGCGATTTGGCCCTGGTTCGGCGGCGCGTCGTGGGCTGGCTCAGCTCGCGGGCGCTGCGTGGGCTGGCCGTCGTGCTTCCCCAGCTCGGCATTCTAGAGGCGGCCGCGCGCCGCTTCGCCTTCGACGCCGCGTTTGCCCCGAGACGATGATCACCGCCGATCTTGGCTGTGACCCGTTCGCGCAGCACTTCCGCGACGCTGTAGCCGATCTGCAGCGCGGTCGCTCCAAACTGTGATCGCCCTGCTCCTTCCTCCACTCGCATGTCAATTTCAATGGCAGTCCGACTGCGGTGCTCTGCGAATTCCGCTTCAACGATGGAGGCCCTTTCCCTCGCTCGGTTCGGGCCAAGCCAAGCCCTTCGCTTTTCCTGAGACTCTGGATCGATGTCCCTTCGAGTTGCCTGCTGGTTGGAAACCGGAACAGATCGCCTCGTGCTCGACCGACTCTCGAGCTTGGCCCTCGGCTGAAGGCTACCATTGGGGATGAAGGTGGGGCAGTAAGGGGCGACATAAGCGCTCAGATCCGTCTCATTTTGTGAAGCAGGTCCATTCGCGTACAGACAGTTTGTGTACGTGGATTATGTCTATACGTATATATATACATATATGTACATATCTATATATATATATATATATACATATATATATATATATATATGTGGATGCCTCTCGGCATTCGTTCCGCAGCAGTTGGCCTCGCTCTCTTTGGTCCGTGCTTTCCCTCTGCTGCCGAGTTGGCTCCAGCACAAATTCTAGCTCTTCCGTCCGTTCCCACCCAGCGGGCTCTACTGCGAGAAGTTGTGCACCGTGTCGCATTGCTAGCGAGGGGGTGTGGACACGCCTCATGTTAAGAAGCGGGTCCGTTCGCGTTCACACGCTGTGCAAAATTTTGCGCGGATTGTATATCATATCATGATGCCGATCGGCAGCCTGCGAATAGCTCGATGCACTCCGGCTTTCCGCTCCGCAGCAGTTGGCTTGGCAGTCCCAATGGTTACGGATATTTTTCATTTGTTATATGTTGACATTGTGGGGAACCCCCCCGAAACGGGATCCCCGGCGCCTGGGGTTCCTGGACGCCTCCTTAGAGAGTCCCGCGACATTCCCGGTTCCCGGGCCCCTGAAGTCCTTGCCAAGCCGCGCAGACGGGTCGGCGGCGGTCCAAAGAGATTCCCAAGACGGTCCAAGATGGCCCCCAGCGGCATTCCCGTCAACGCCAGAGGACGGCCCAACGATCAAGAGGCCTTGTCACGCAGAAAATGGCGATTACCCATTTCCGAGGCGGGAATTTACACATGACCACCGCCTGGAAAATCAATGTTCGGGCACCTCGCAGGCGGTGGATATGGATATATTCGGGCCCCTGGGGGCCAAACTATATCCATATCCACCGCCCGTTGGGGCACCAGGACGTCGTTTACCTGGCGGTGGACATGGATAAATCCCCGCCTCGCACAATTGTTGTTTTCCATGACTTGGGGCCACTCGGTTATTCGATTTTCCGGGCGTCTGGGAACGCCCGAGAGGTACCGAAAACCGCTCCAAGAAAACCAAAAAAAGGCAGAGGGCCCCAAGACGGCCCAAACGAGTTCAGCAATTGCCCACAGAGCCCCCCAGGACGGGCCAAAATTGCCCCAAGACACCTTCAGGAATGATTCGAACCGTTACCCGAGGCAAAGGTTCGCGGCATGGTGGCCCGACGAAGCCCCCAGAGGCAGCGAAGAACGCCAGGGACGTCTCCACAGGCGTCCAAAGAGCCCCTACGAAGCTTTCGCGGGGTCTTCCAGAAGCTCGCCTTGGAGGAGCTTCCGCAAACAAATTTGAGGAGGACGGGGAAGGTTTCGCGGCGTACGTAAAGCGAGAACGAGGAAGAGGAAGAGGAAGAGGGCACGTGAAGGAAGGAGAAGGGACAACAAAATGAGAACGATGATGGCGAAAACCTCTGCCAAAAGCGATCGTTGTTTTGATTGATCGATCTCTCTCTGTCTCTCATGTTGCCTGCATGTTTGACGTGCAGGACCAAGGTGTATGGCGCGGAGCGCCAATGCAGTCTTGTTTGTGCTTGTATTTGTGTTTGTGCGTGTGTGCGTGAGTGTGTACGTGAGCGTGTGCGTGAGCGTGTGCGTGTGCATGCTCGCGCGCGCGTGCGTGCGTGCGTGCTGGTCACGCGTGCATGTTTCATCCTTGGCCAATGCACCCATCTCTCTCCCTCTCTCTCTTTCTGTGCTTCTCTCTCTCTCTCTGCCTCTTCCAGTTTCCTCCTCTCTCACAATCTTGCTCCTCTGCACGCAGATCAACATTACACCATAGAAGAACCCCGATCAGTGGATCGTTTAATGAGATCGATGGTGAGATCGATTGATTCCCCAATCAGTGCTTGCACTGAAGGGGTCGTAGCGGAAATTGAAAGATTTGGCGAAAATTTCCCACCGATTTTGGTAGCCGGCTGGGTTCCCTGTTCCGGGTTCCCGGGTTTTGGGTCATTGGTTCAGGGCCAATTTCGGTGGGTATGGGAGATAATGCATCGTCGGATCGATGAAGAGATCGATATGAGATCGACGGGGAATTTGGGAGCCCGGGAAGCCCAGAACCATTGACCAGGAACCCGGGAACCCGGAACCGAGAACCCGGGAACCCAGCCGGCTACCAAAATCGGTTGGAAATTTTCGCCAATTTTTTGATTTCCGCTAGGACCCCTTCAGCGCAAGCACTTCAAGCACCCATTGGGGAATATATACACATGTGTATAGATACATGTATATATACAGATGTGAATATACGTGTGTGTGTGGGCAAATGTACATAAATGTGTGTACGTGTACACACACAGGTATCCATACGATGTATATATATATGTATATAGATATGCATTGAGAATGACAGATCACGGTGCGTGCACATCATATCCATATTCGCTCTACCCCTGCACCCAGCTTCCTCGATCCCGCCCTCGTCATATGTCACCTCTGTTCGCTCGGTCCCCCACGTCGGAGGCTCCTGCTCCGCGGGGCTCCAACTTTTTATCGCGGCCTGCCCTAGCCTGGCCACGGGGTCGAGGGCCGGAGGGCGAGGGCGGTCGGGATCGGCTGGCCGGGATCTGGCTCGATTCTCCGGCAGCCCCCGGGGGTGCACGTGGTAGCCTTGCCCTCCTCCCTGGGGCGGAGACAGCTCAGACGAACAAGAGGTACCCGTACCGCTACCTGTTCAGCCTCCTGGGAGGCCTTCGTCGCCACGATTGGGTTCGCCTCGAAATTCTAGTCAGAGCGCACCCCAGGAGAGGTGCGGGGAGTAGCAGTATTGGTATTTGTTGGTTTCCCCAAGAGTTGCCATTCTCATTTCTTGAGTCCGTCTGCTGACAGGATCCTAGGGAGGCGGAACTGGTACAAGTTATTTCTCCTATGAAAGATGGGTGTTCGATCCCATGGATCCGATCCGATATGGATTTCGGATGGCTCGATCCGATTCGATGCTATGTCGATATCCTGGCGATCCGATGTTGCCAGATTGCCGCATGGTTCTGTTGAGCATACTTGCGCGGGCGGTCGGACTCGATTTTGATTATGTGCCGATGCAGCCCGATCCGATGCAGATTCCGATCCGATCCGATCTCCCGTTTCGATGTTGGTTGATCCTGCCCATTCCAGTACATTCGGGCCGTGTCGACGCAGCGGCGGCCCCGCCGCGGTCGTTCAAGGCTGGACGCTGCCAGCGGCCCAACATCTCCCGACGTATGGCGATCTGGCGCCCGAAAGGTTGCAGACCGATCGTGGTTGAACGACCCATGTCGTTCGGGCCGGACGAAAGGGGGGGATTGGGAAAGGGGGGGTTACGATATTTGCTGCATGCAGCTGGTTTCGGCCCCACCGAGGGGCCCATGCCTGGATACATGGCCGCCTCCGGCGCCGGGAGGCGCCGGGAAAATCAGCTACGTGAGCTGATTCTCAACCCCCCCTTTGCTATCCCCCCCTTTCGCCCGACCCGAGTGGTGTCAGAAACCAACGCTTGCGTTGTTCGGACACGAACTTGCCGCACGGAGGAGTGGAGAGGAGGTCGCCGCCCAGGGTCAGTTTCGATGCGATCGATTCGATGCGGCCCGATGCCTGCATGGCGGTGCCATGCATCCTGGCGCGTCCGATCCGACTCCGACTCAGACTCCGAGAGAGTGCGGCCGGGTCCGACTTCTGCACATTCCGATTCCATCCGGTTTCCGGATCCGATCCTGGCTGCTCTTGCCACCTCGGCCTCAGCGCCCATGTGCCACGGCCCAGTTTTCCCAGACCCCGCCGGGGCCGCCCGCGTGCCGCTTCCGCCCGGCGCGCCGCCTCCGCCGGGCGTGCGTGGGGCACCCCGCCAGCGGCGCAGCGCCGCGCAGAGTGCCGCGGGCCCGAATGGACGACAGCACCTGTGCATACATCGGGGAGCAGGTAATGGCACAGCTCTTAGCCCTGTCGGCCTCCCAGGTGGGGTCGGAGGTCAGTTGGGGTCGGAGGATCGCGCCGCATCGCAAATGCATCGACGATGCGGCTCGACGTGGAGCCCGTGTTTCCCCACGCCGACGACTTCGATGTATCGCCGACGTTGCAGACGCACCGCCGATACCGGCGATGCGGCGCGATCCTTCGACCCAATCCAGGAGGCTTCTAGTCGTGGTTTCAAGTCGCCGCGACTAAAGAAGAATGATCGGTTGTTTTCGGACGGTGTCGCCAGGTCTCGGTGGTCTTCAGTCTCGTGATGCTCTCCAGCGGCTGCGCCTCACCGAGAGCGCTCCCGGGGGGGGGGGGCAGAATCGCCCCGAACGGCCGCTGGAGAGCCGAGTTATGACCCGAAGCCAGAAAACCGGGGGGCAACGTCGGGGGGAGTGCAGTCGGGAACTTCGGCGCAGCGTGCCGCTCCGCCGCTTCTGGCCCTCGACGCTTCGGCGCGACACGCTGGGCACGTCCAGTCCCCCGGCGCAAACGTTGCGAGCTCCTCCGAGCCTCTCGCCCCGCGAGGCGGAGCGACACGCTGTCCGCTCGCATGGCACAGCGTGTCGCTGGGGCCACCGCGGCGACACTCTGAGCAAAAGCTCTTGACGGTACACACAAACCGTCGGGCGTCCGCGCGCATTTCTTGGATCGGGGCCAGAGCCCCCTGGCGCGCTCCGCGCGCCAGTGGAGGGGGGTCCAGCGCCGATCCGAGAAAGCCGCGCAGGCCTCCGAAAGTTTGAGCCTTTCTGACGAACGAACAATACACACCCATACCCACAGGGGGACGGAGGGGGCTATGGGTTCGTGTTGTCGGATGGGGGTCCCCGGTCGAACGGGAGCGCCCCCCGAGGTCCGACAACCTTCACCCATACCCATAGCCAGTCCCCCTCGCGTGTTGTTCGTTCGTCAGTGTGTCTTTGGGTGTTCCCCGAACGGAGGACCCGAGTGCGCAGATCGCCATCAGCGCACGCCGACAGAAAAGAGCCACCGCCGCACTCTCCCGGGCCAGGCTGGAAGCGGGGGTTGCGGCCTGCGGGGGCTCCCATCCGGATCGGGCAGGCTTGAGTGCGTTCTTCGGGGTACGAACTGACGACACACCCTGGATGGGGCAATCGTCGTTCCCTTCCCCCCCTCGGATCCGCGGAGGGGGTTGGGCACCTGCTGCCAGAACGTGTTAAGGGGGGGTTGGAGGAGGAGGAGGAGGAGGAGGAGGAGGAGGAGGAGGAGGGAGGAGGAGGGACGAGGAAGAGGAGGAAGAGGAGAGGAGGAAGAGGAGGAAGAGGAGGGAGGAGGATGAGGAGGGAGGGGGGCGATGGGCCAGCTCCGTCGGAAGGTCACCCCCCTTGAGAAATGCGCCATCCAGAGTAAACATCAGCATTCAGATGTCCGCGCTGATTTCTCGGATCGGCACTGGAGCCCCTTGGTTGGCGCGCTCCGCGCGCCAGGCGGAAAGAAAGCACGGACCGTCCCCTAACCAAGAAATCATCTTGGATTTCCGAAAGGTCATGTTCATGTTCTTGAATTGCTTCGCTCATTCCTCAGGCACGTGGCAGGCGAGAATGAGGATGGGGGACTTGATAGGGGAGAAGGGGAAGAAGAAGGAGGAAGAGGAGGAGGAGGAGGAGGAGGAAGAGGAGGAGGCCTCTCGACGGCTTCTTGGGGCACGGCGGGGACCAAACTGGGTCGCGGACAGGACGCCTCCTTCGGAAAGCCTTTAGGATCGCTCGGGAGGCCTCTCCGGGGCCTCTTGGCGGCATTTTTGAGACCTAGGGTCTCTCGGGGTCCCCGTGGGGCATTCTTCGGGCTTCCGAGGGGCTTCTGGGGGGCCTGATCGCCGTCTCGGGGGCAATTTTTCAGGGCAGGCTCGATATGTCTGTTCGGGTTTCCCCTCTTTGGGTCCTCATGGGAGCCTCTGGAGTCCTCTTGGGAGGCCTCTTGGGCCGTCCTGGGAGCCTCTTGGGCTGACTTGGTGCGATCTTGGAGCGATCTGGGGCCGTCCTGGGCATTTTGAAAAGTCTGTATCGTCAACGTTTTCAATAAACAAAAAGAACGAATCAATGAGTTATGCTTCTTCGGGCCCTCTTGGGTTCCTCTTGGAGCTCTCCTGGGGCGTCTTGGGGCGCCTCTCGGGCCGTCTTGAGACCAACTTTGGCCATCTTGGAACGCTCTTGGCCTGAGGCCGTGGGGCCTACCACAATCCGGCGCCTCTTTGGGGCGCCCTGGGGAGCCCCAGAGCCGCGCCCAGGAGTTCTGGCATCTGTGACCCGATCCTGCCGGGACCTGGCCGGGGTAGTTTTCGTCCAGGGACCCCCAGGGGCTGCCACGCTCGCGCGGGAACTATCAACATTATGACACTCTTACGTGCTGTAGATGTTAGCACGACTCTGGCCCGCTGGGCCGGCGAGTTTGTTGTTCCCCGAGTTCTCGCACCTCGGAGAGCCTTCCCAGAGCGCTCCAGACAGACCGCGATGCCCGATGCATCCCCCAGACTTGCCAGCTCTAAGAGATCCCGGTTTACCCCCATCCGTGTTCATCTTCATTTTGTCTTCGTCTGTGAGGGGGTGCGAAATGTGCTGCACGCAGCTCACCGGCTCCGGCCCACTTGCCCAGGCGTTTTCGTCGACACGTTGGCGCCTCCGGCGCAGAGATGTGCCAAGAAACCTTGTCGTTCGCATTCGACCAGGTGCAGTGAGCACGCTGAAACAACGATCATCTTGGTTTCAGGAGGGGCCCTGTTTTTCGGGCCGCTCCCAAGGTTTGACTAAGTCGGGGAACCTATTTGTGGCCGAGGCCCGCCGTGGTCACAAGAGCCCTTTCGTTCCTTCTTCAGCCTTCCACATGTCAGCACGAGAGCACTGCACCCACTTTTTTCGTCCGCCCCGATTCCGGGTGTCCCTCCTCGTTTGGGGATGCCCTCTCTCCTCTCTCGGGCCCTCCACATGGGACCTCGCGGACACGGCTGGGCACAGCTCGAGCATCGAGCCAGTGTGGCTGCAGAGAGGGGCCCGCGGACCGGGTCCGAGCGGATAGGAGGCCACATGCGAACCCTACCCCACCTCCCCCCCCTATAGATAGGGGGGAGACGGGGTAGGGTTCGCATGTGGCCTCCTAGCGGCGGGCGAGGGTGGAGCCCCCGAGGGGGGGGGGGTCGGAAGCTTCTGGGCAGGCGCGGCGGGCCCCGGGGGTGCTCTTGAGGAGCCCCGGTACAAAGGCGCCAACACCACAGGGCCAAGCATCCGTCGGGGGCGGAAAAGAGGGGGGTGATGACTAAGGGGGGGTGGATATCATGGCGGGGACCATGATATTTCCCAGATTTCATGGCGCCTTTTCTTATTTCATTACGTCCCTGGCCCCCCCGCTGGGCCGCGCACATGCCGCCGGTCATGATTTGCACCCCCCCCCCTCTTGGCCGCTCCCGAATCCGGAAGTCTAGGCCTCTAGATGGGGTCAGAGTAGGTGGGGTCGGAGGATCGAGCAGCATCGCCGATGCATGGGCGATGCGGCTCGATGTGGAGCCCGATTTGCTTCCCGTCGACGTCGCCGGTGCATCACCGACGTTGGCGATGCGCCGCTGGAGCATCGGCGATGCGCTGGCGATGCGGCGCCATCCTCCGACCCTATCTACTCCGACCCCATCTAGGAGGTCTCTGGTAAGGACGCGTGGGCAGGAGAGCGTGCGATTGGCAGCTCTTTGGTGCTTGCGAAAGGAGGGATGGAAGGCAAAGCTCCTCACGACTAGAGAATTACGGAGGCAGGCCACGCGAATCCCACCAGTGCAGAGTGTCCAGAGTCATCCGATTACCAGAAATGATTACGGATGCCAGCTCGTTCACGCGAAGAGCATTACGGAAGTCATTGTTGGACGGTTTCATTATCTTTTCGATGATTACAGCATTTGCGCAATTGTATTGCGGAGGTCGAGCCGCATGGTAGTGCAGTTTGCACGTTTAAGTTGTTATGTGTGCCGCTGTTGAGAATTAGGGTTAGGTTTGTTGTCAGACACATTCACATTCAGAATCACTCATAATCAGACGCCCATCATGGGCAGATCCATTCACACCCATGTTGCTTGAGCCACCCAAAATGGGTCGACCAGGGATGTCCCTCGGGCCCGTTCGCGCAGACTTGTCCGAGCTTAGGCACCCACCAAGGAGATGCAAGAACACGAGATGCATAGGTGGGAATGTCCGCGTCGAAAGCTTATTCCTCTCTCTGCGGTTCGACGCACGCTTCTAGGCTCCTCTGCAGTCGCGGGGTTCTTCGACGCACGGCACGCACAACACAATTCTTCGCATCCTTCTCAGGTCCTTTTCAGTTTACCCTACACCACTCCATTCTCCCTCCCCTGCAATGTACCATGCGCTCCCCTAGAATCCCCCGCCCTCAGTTCCTTCGAAGTCTTCCCCACTTCACTCCAGTCCTCCCCGCTCCTCCAGACTCCTCAGCGCTCCTCCAAACTCCTCCGCCTTCCAGAATCTCTCGCCCACATTCCCGTTCCTCCAGACTTCTCCCCTTATCTCCCGTTTCCTTTGCACTCTACTCCCCTCCGACAGCTCCAGCGACACCGCAGTCGACGCCAGTCTCCCACTTCCCTTTGAACACCAGCGACAGCACAATCGACAGCAGAAGACAACTTGATGTGGATGACGTCGACGACGACAAGGGTCTCTTGCCGTGGGAAGAGTTCATTCACAGAGCTACGCATACGGCCACAGATCTCGCCACCCGCTTTCACATGGACGAGTGGACGACACTGCACTAAAAACGCAAAGGACGATGGGCAGAGCGAGCAGTAACACAAGCACACCACAGGTGGACAAGACTCGCTGCAGCCTGGGAGCCAGAAGTCCACGGTGCCCGACCAGCACACCGCAAAAATGGTGGACAACGCAAACGGTGGCGCGACTACATATCAAAGCTCATACACAATACCACTGAGGGACACACAAAACATTGGTTGGATTAAACTTCTGACCAGATGCTATGCGACAGTTGGAAACACGCCTTCCTCCAACATATGCAGTAAACGGGCCCCGGCCCACCCGCGGTGCCCCTGAGGGGCCCGCCAGCCGGCCAGCCTGCGGATTTTGCTCGCTCCGCTCCGCTACCCTACCCTCCGCACTCCCGCGCCCGTCTTCCCATTTTTCCGCACTTCCTCTCTCCTCCTCATTTCTCCCCCTCTTCCGCGCTCTTCACCACTTCTACAGACTCCTCCGCACGTCTCCGCACCTCTCCGCACTCTTCCCCACTCCTCCCCCTCCGGAATCTCGCGCCCTCATACCCACACTTCCGCAATCCTCCCTTTTTCGCCCTCCTCTCCCCTGGCTTCCGCGCTCATCTGGACTCCGCAGTTCTTCTCCGCTCCTCCCCACTGGCACTCCACTTCACTCTTCACCACGGCCACGTCGGGAAATTGTTTCGGTTTCCGTCGCGCGGGGGCGCGAACAAGTCGGAGTAGTCTTGTGGTTGTCACGCGGGTTGTCGCGTGGGTCGTCTTGCAAGTTGCACGCGTAGGTGTGAGGTTGCCTTGTGGTCGTCTCGTGGGTTGGTTCGTGGGCTGTCCCGTGGTTTTCCAGTGGATTGTCCCGTGGTTGCCCCGTGGGTCGCAGCACGCATGGCCAATCAACACATCACAGCTGGATCACAGGGCGAAGCGAGGTGGTCGCACGAAGCACGCGCGAGAGCCAACGCAACTTCGCGTCGAGGTCGAATCGACATGTTCGCGTCGAAATTCGCGTCGAAGTGACCTCAAGGATGTTCGCGTCGAAATCGAATCGGCATGCAAATATATAACGAATTCGAAACCCAAATCGACATTCAAATTCTCCAGCCCCCCTTTTCCGAACCCGCTTTATCATTCGAGGGGTGGGCTATGAAGAACGTGTATACAGAGTGCACGGAGCTGGTATAAGCGGATGGAATTGGTCATAGGAGTGGGCCGTACAATAGCAGTTGGACGATGGAATTGATAGAAATTTGAAGCGATCAGATCACCGACCTATGTGCATGCGTGTCTGAATATGTGTTCAACGTCCTCTTTGCTTTAACCGACCAGCTGCACCGCCCGACATATGTTTGCGCACAAGATCTGCGTCTGCGCACAACTTTTTAATGTTTGGCTCAATAACCGCCTGCAGTCAGCTTGACCTGCGAGCAGCGCCTATATCGTTGCCATCAATGACCTCGGCCATGGATCTTGCCGAGGTCGGCGGCGAGGCGAGCGGGTCGGAGCAGTTCCTGGTCCAGGACGCTCGTGCCCGGCTCTCGCTCTGGCGAGCGGCGGGCGGTGCAGCCGCGGGGCTCCTGCTCCTGGCCGGCGCGGGCGGGGGCGCGGCGCAGCTGGCGCTGCGCGGTTCGGCCTCGGGCGCGGGCCCCCGCGAGAGTGAGTAGCAGACGATCGCCATTCCCGCGCGCGATCAGTGCTCCAATTGGGACGAGGATTGATTCAGCAGTGGGCGCTGCAACGTGGCGGGCTCCACGTGCTCCGAGACGAAGCCAGGGAAGGGCGAATGTGTGAAGAATTGCACCTCCACCGATACAAAGCTCTGCAACCAGCCGCAAGAAATCATGGTTCTGGTCTTGGCGGACGCTGTGCTGCACGACCTGACGCTGCATTGCTTCGCTATAGTTATGCAGGGCATTGGCAGCAGGAAAAGCACTACGATCTCCAAGGAGCGTATGAGAAGGGACTCAGCATCTTTGGCTGCGATTCTTGGGGAGTTTTCAGCGACGTAGAAGCCGATCTTGCGCCTGGCGCTCCTGCCACGAAGGTGGATGATGTCGACTGGGGTTTCCATGTCGCGGAGCAGGAGGAGATCGGCACCTGGCAAAAGACAGGCCTGCATTACCAGGCCTGAAAGCCATCCAGGCGGAGGGCAAGCACGCTATTGTTAACGGGTCGTGGAACTCGATGCGGAGGCGGTGATGATCCCGAGCCGCTTGAATTATAGGTTGTCAGACAAGTGCGTCCCGTCTGGGGGCATTTACCTCGAAAATTCCCAGTGCGTCAAGTACGGTTGGTTTGGCAGCCTGGAGATATTCTCGAAGGTTGCGTTCGAGACACTTCTGGGGTCGATGGCCTCGTGCAAGAACGGTGGGATTGACTGGACTGTGGGCGGTGGATGGTGGCAAGTACGGGCCCATGGGCGAGGATCTGTTTGCGCGGGCCTGCATGGGCGCGAACGGCGTCAAGCGCGGGATCGGGCTCGGCTCCAAGCTGGGCGGGGCGCGCGAGGCGGACCGGCCCCTCTCGGACAAAAGAGCGAGAAGTGGAAGCCCGATTGCGACATTGTCGCCACCACGACATACCACCCGATCATAAAGTTGGAAGATTACTGGGCGTGCTACGAGGCCACCATAAAGGCGTTCCCGGCGCACCCGCCGCCATGGTCTCGACGGCACACCCCTGGCGCCTCGCGGCCCTCCGACTCTCGCGCCTGCCGCCTACCTTCCCGCCAATCCCCGCCGCCCCAGTGGGAACGTTGCGGCGAAGCGAATTCGCTCGCGGACCGGCGGGCGGTCGCGCCCCCCCACCCGAAGACGCCCAGAAGTATCGACAGGCACGCGGGCGCCCGCGCGAAGTGGAAAGGCGCCCCTACCCGACGCCTTCTTGTCCGCGTTGGACGGCCGCTGCTGCGCCAACCTCTCAGCACGGCGGCGCGACCGTTTTGCCATCGGATGGTTCCCAGATTGTTGCCGGGGCGTCCTGTAGTCGAGAGGTCGAGCCGAGTTTCTGAGCTCCTGCGCGAGAGGTTGGGTGTCTTGGAGTATCTCTCTCTCCACCTTCGCGGCGGCAGACGTACCGTGAGCCCTGCAGCGCGCGGAGTGCTAGACGGGGCGTTTGAGACGCTTGCAGGCAGAATTGAGTTTACTAGCCCCCGCGCGAGATCCCCCACCCCACCCCACACTCGATAGTTATTATCCATCGCGAGCCCGCTCTCGCGCAGCGCCCCTGCTCGAGACGCAGAGGCTTGAGGCTGATCAGAGAGGGGGGGCAGAAAACACGCCCCTTCCCCATCAGACAGCATCCAGGATCCCTCCTGAGTTGGAACGGACGGACAGGAATCTCAGCGTCACCCAGACTTTCCGCCCCCTCCCACAACCACCTACGCAACTGCGGCCCCGCGCTGGCTCGCCCCCACTACTTTGTGCTCCCCAGTCAAGGTGGCAACCAGGCCAGGCCAGGGGCACGGCGACAGGCTCCGACTCCAACCCCGCCAGGTCCGCTTTCCACCGCAGCCCTTTCTATTCGACCAGAGTTTACGGTGTCGTCCCCGCGTGGGGCCACAGTTGAAGCTACTACTGACACCGCGGCCAGTTGGCAAGGCGCAGCAGCGCAGCCAAACAGCCTGGGCGGCGGACGAGACGACGATGGACATGGAAGAGGCGGCGATCCAGAAACCAGCTGAGCGCGCGGAGGCGGACCAGGTGACCACGTCTTCGGAACCGCGCAGCGCCGCCTGGAGAAGAGCCACAGGACGCCGCAGAGCACCAGCGCGAAGCACCATGACGTCATCCAGCACAACCAGATGGTAATATGGCCTGCACAAGCAGCAGGAGCGCATCACGATGAGCCGCGCGAGGATCACGGCCAGCAGGAGTCCGAACCAGCACGAGAAGATCGAGAGGACCCACGCGGCGGAACTACTACGACAGCAACTGCACGTGAACAGCAAGGCCATCGAGCATTGCTGAAGGGGGTGAGATCCTTCTCAGCAGCCAGAGTCGGCCCCACCAGGGGCCTTTCCCATGGGAGTTGGACTTCGAGAGGCCCCGGATCGATGAGCTCGAGGACGACTGCACTCAGTGGGCGGAGAGCAATTGCGGACGTGGCCACGACGAGGTGAAGACGGCGGACCAGAGCGGGCTCGGCAGACTGCAGCAGGCGCGCGACAGCACCAAGCAGCAGCGCCCCAAGTGCTTGTCGCACAGCAAGGGCATCCAAGCGTGGAAGCCGCACATCAAGGCGCTGCCAACGCAGCTGCAGATCCAGCCCCCGCCCCCACTAGGGATCCCAGCGGAGCCAACTGCTCCGAGCCCGGGCGGGGACCTCCGCCTCCGCGATGCCAAGGTCGCCGAGATGGCGGGGCTGGGGCGGGGGCTGTTGTCGTGAGCCTTGAATCCAGCAAACGCCTGCCCAATTTTTTCTTTCGGGCCCGCCTGTTTCGCAAGGGCCGCCAGCGCTAATCTGCCAACGAGGCTCACTATACGGCACTCGCAGAAAGGCGCGCCCCGCTACAAGTCGGTTCAGCCAGCGCCCTTTTTGTCTCGGCGCCGCAGAGCACCAGCAGCGAGGAGAGCGGGCGGGGGGAGCGAGAGGGCGGGGGGGGGGAGCTCTCAGCGGGAGGGGGCCCGCCTCCACGGGGAGGCACCCCCGCCCGCCTGCATCTCGCATCCAGCTCGCGAAGGCAGGACCCCCTTGCTACGGCGCAGCGGCCTCTGCCATAGGGTAGGAGGCCGCGCGCGCCAGGCAGCCCGTAGCAAAGGGGGTCTGCATCCATATTTTCACCCACGGGTCCTGCTATGCGAAGTAACTCAGACCCACAAGGGCCTTATCCTGATCCTCATCCTTGAATCCTCCTCCTTCTCCTCCTCCTCTCCGTCGGCTCCCCCCAGTTCCATCGCCCTCGTCTCCTCTGGCCCCTTTTTTCCTCGCGTTCCTCCGGAGGCCCCCACGGCCGAGTGCGCCGAGAATGACTAATCCGCAATCCTCGATTATATGTCCCCGCGGCAAATGATCGCAAACCTCGCATGTTCTTTCTGTTCTGTATAGATATTCATATGTTTGTATCGAATAAGAATAATGCTAATGATAAGAATACCGGTAATACGTATATGAAGTTGTTTGTCCACGTTTGGCCTTAAGGGTCATGTACCCAGCGCCGCGGCCGTCAAGAAACGGCTCGGGATGAAGAGTTGGCCCCAGAGTTCTGGGGCTTCATGTCGTGAAAAATTTGCGACGCGCACGGTCTGGTTTGAAAGGATGTGGATCGATTTGGGTGGTTGTTAAGCTTCGGAAGTATTCACGAGGATTGTGCGGACTTCAAGAGATCTCCGGTGACCTCCTGTCGCTCGGGACCACGACTTGCCCACTTTGGGTTTCCATCAGGCCTTGCAGCATTGTCCGCATCAAGAAGGTTTGGGTTCGCCAGGTCAACCTGTCAGTGGAGTTCCCGTCAGGAGGGCGCTGATTTGGGGCATCCACAGGGAGGGAGCGAAGGAGCACGCCGACCAAACAACAGGCCTCATCCTCCTCCGTGACAGCCCTTCCTCCAGCGCGCCCTCGGTTGCTCCCGGGGGGAACGAAAATCATACGAGTAGAAGGACGCAGGAGGTATGACGAGAAACAGAAGCAGGAGGAGGAGCAGGGAACGGATGGTGAGGATAAGGAGGGGGGAAGAGGAGGAAAAGGATGGGGATGAGGGGGAGGAGGAGGAGGAGGAGGAGGAGGAGGAGGAGGAGGAGGAGGAGGAGGAGGGAGGAGGGAGGAGGGAGGAGGTGGAGCGGATAATGAATAAGGAGAGGTGGAGAGGATAATCAAGAAGGGGAGGTGGCGAGGGTACTGAATATGCGAGAGGGAGAAGGGAGGAGCAGGGAGGGGTGGTGGCGAAGGGGATGACGATGATAATCACGATGATGGTGGTGGCGACGGTGGTGGGGGCGGTGGTGGTGGTGATGATTGTGATGGTGGTGGTGGTGGTGGTGCTGCTGCTGCTGGTGCTGCTGGTGCTGCTGGTGCTGCTGGTGCTGCTGGTGCTGCTGGTGCTGCTGGTGGTGCTGCTGGTGGTGCTGCTGGTGGTGCTGCTGGTGGTGCTGCTGGTGGTGGTGGTGGCGGTGGTGGTGTGGTGGTTTTGGTGATGCGAATTGCGATGCGGATCATGGCGATGAGGAAGAGGAGGAGGAAGAGGAGGAGGAGGAGGAGGAAGAGGAGGAGGAGGCGGAGGAGGAGAGGGAGGAGGAGGAGGAGGAGGAGGAGGAGGAGGAGGAGGGGAGGAGGAGGAGGGGAGGCAGAGGGGGAGGCGGACGATCAGCACTTTGGGCTCAGAGCGCTCGGCGACAGAGCAGGGAGAGCACAGCAGCCATGGGGCGCATGTATGGCAAGGGCAAAGGCCCCGCGCCTCCCGCCGCACTCGCGCGCGACCTTCCTTGCGATCTCCACTTGCCCTTCCCGCAGGCGTCGTTGTCGTGCTCTCGCCCCCCGTCGGCCGTCCCCCCCATCCTCGCCGCCGTCGGAGCGAGGGCGTGCGGCAGGTTCTTGCCGTGCCGACGGGGCGGCGACCCCGACGCGGACACTCAAGTCTGGACCCAGCCGTCTGGCCCGGAGTCCACCGACGTCGAACGATCTTCGGGGGGCAACAAAGAGGGGGTAATGATTTAGGGGGGGGAATATCACGGCGGGGGCCATGATATCGCCCCAGATTTCATGGCGCCTCTTCTGATTTCATTATTTCCCGGGCCCCCCCTGGGCCGCGCACATGCTGCCGGCCATGATTTACGCCCCCCCTCTTTGACGCCCCCCTCTTGGACGCCCCCGGGATCTGGGTTGTCAGAGCACCGCGATTGTGCGAGGTTAAATTATCCGATCCACACGGTGTCAGAAACCAACGCCAGGGCCAACACGGCACGAATCTGCCGTAGTCAATACAAGTAGGGGGGTTCTTCCCGTAAGGCTTTTGCTTTTTTTGCTAGGGCGCGGGGCAGTGTGACACCCCACGTCGCTCATACATGCGGTCGGTTTTCGCGTGCGCCGTTTTCTTGTGCACCAGGGGCAGGCTCATTGCTTGCACTGGGTTTAGCCCGATCCACGACAACCCTCCTCCTCGTCTCCGCCAAGCTACTCATTCCTCCTCCGCCCAGGGCCTCCGTTAACGGAGAAACCTTTGCAGAACGAAGGTCAAGCCCTCCATCTTTGATTTTTGAGGGTGTTCCCAGACCGATCCGACCATCATGGTAGTTTTCCGTTGTTGGGAAAAGGTTTGCGGATTGATTTCTCAGTGTTCTGTTTTGGCAGAGTCTCTGCCTGTATGTATTCCTTTGTTTTGTTGTCCTTGTCTCTGCCAAAATCTTCCTGCGGTCTCCGCCTCTGTACACGTCTCTGTCTCTGCCACTGTCTATCTCGAGCCGGCTCCAGTTGGCTCTGTCTCAGGTCCGCGCCCACCTCCGCCCATGCGTTTTCCTCAGCTTCGCCTCCGCCTCTTCACATCCCCTGATTGCGTACCTCCGCTCTGTCTCCTCACATCATCTTCCTTCGCTCTGTCGTCGGCTAGTTCATGTGCATTGTCGGACGTCTGGTCGCTTGGCCGGTCGGTCGCCAGCGAGCGTCACCTCGCACACGGTCTCGAAAGCAAGCGCATGTTTCGACGCACGACCTTCTTGCCGACGATGGCAACGCGAGTACGACTGATCGAGGCGGTTCCTGCCGCACGGGGGGCGCACGACACGACGGGGAGAAGCGCCCTGCAACTCTTCTTCCGACGTGCAGTTGTGCCAGCATTCCCGAGAGTCCCCGCTGGCATCCTGGACGCGGCCAGCCAGCGCCGCAAGCTGGCGGCCGTCCTCCGCTTCGCGGCCGTCGCCACCAACGGCCTCTGCCCCCCCCCCCCCCCCACCCTGCACCCCTGCGGAGAGAGGCGAGCGGGCCACGCGCAGGTGGAACCTTCGACCGCGGGTCTCGCAGAGGATAGGGGGGGAGACGCGCGAGGCGGGTACGACTGCCCCCCCGCCCCAGCCTTCGCGCAAGCGCTCGACCGCCTCGAGCCTTTGGTCGCACCGACTGAGCCTGACGCCTCCCGAGGCACCCAGACCCTGTGCCTCGTGATGTGCCCTCTGGCTTCTGGACCGCTCGCTTTTTAATGGCCGGCGCCGGCGCGCCCACTGCGCGCGCGCGCGAGGCATCTCGTCCTCGGCGGCGCCGTACCGCCGCAGGCCCCCGACGTGGCTGAAGATGAAGAGCGAGGAGCCCGGCTGCGGCTGGAGTGGCCAGCGTCGGGGCTCAAGAGACGGGGATCAATCCAGAAGGGGGTCAGCCAGAGCGCCAGATCTTGCAGGATATTGCAGACCAGGGGTGCATTGACTTGGGCCTGGGCGCAGGATCCTGCAGGATGTTGCAGGATCCTGCAATGCCCGACTGACCCGGGTTTGGATCGACCCGGGTCAGCAGGTCCCCGACAGTGTTTGCCTTTTCGTTCCGCTTTGTTCGCTGTGGAGGAAAGCCAGGTCAGACGAGAGGGGGATGTTGGGAAAGGAGCGGACACGAAGTCTGCTGCACGCACCTGGTTTCGGCTCCGCCGCCGGTCGCTTTTCCTCGAGGCGTGTGCGCCTGCGGCGTTGGGAGGCGCCGAAAAAGCCAGGCACGTGAGTTGATTCGCGGACCCGCCCTGTGTCTCCCCCCTTCCGCCGGACCCATTGTTTGCCCTTTGCAGAGCCCCGGAGATCACGACAGACTCTGCAAATTCCAGCTGGAGAAACGGAGAGCGGAGATTATTTCGACCCACGGTTGCGGTTTTCTCGGGCGCGCCGAGCGCGTTGCACTACTCGCAAAGTGCCTACTCGCAAACGCCCGAACAAAAAAGACATGTTTGCCTCGATTCGATGTAGTGTATCGCAAATCCCCCGCGGTGGATCCTGGCCATTTGCGAGTTGTTACTCTGCGAGTAGTGGAACGCGCTTGTCGAATGAGGGAAAAAGGTCCCAAGGGAAGCGGGTCCTAAGGCTTTTCGCGGTTCCGGGAGCCCCGCCCCCCCACCTTCAGGGCCCCGGACCGTCAGGAAGCGGCTCAGGATGAGAAGTTGAGGAAAAGTATCCAGATCCAAATTATGTTCTCCTCCTCCCCCCATGCCAGGAAGGAGGAAAACAATCAGAGGGAGGAGGAGGAGGTGGGAAAGAGGGTGAGGAGGTGGACCTGTATAAATGTTCGATTCATAGTGCTGCTTAGGGCCCTTCAATCAACCTTGTGGCGGCCGCAGAGAGGGGCTGCAGAGTTGCCAGATTTGCACAGAGGTACTGGCCGAGCATGCGTAGCGTTGTGACGATAAAGCGAGAGAGAGAGAGAGGAAGAAAAAGAGAGAGAGAGAGAGAGAGACAGACAGAGAACGAAAAAACTACAACACAAAAAACGGAGAGAGAGAGAGAGAGAGAGAGAAAGAGAGAGAGAGAGAGAACAAACAAAACAGGAGGCACAGAGAGGCAAATAGAGGAGGGGGTGACGGAGGCGGGGAAGGATTAGGAGTGGGTGGGGGAGAAGGAGGAGGGGGAGGCGAAGATGAACGGAGAGGGAGGATGAAGGGGGAGGGGGAGGCGAAGGTGCAGGGGGGTTGAGGAAGAAGGGGACAGAGGGAGGCGAAGATTGAGGAGAGGGTGAGGAAGAAGGGGTCGGGGGCGAAGAGGGAAGGGAGCAGGAAGAGGAGGAGGAGGAGGAGGAGGAGGAGCGAATATGGACGGGGACAGGGCGGGAGGGGGCGGGGGGGAGGGGCACGGGGGGAGGTGAAGAAGGGGCGGGGGGGGGATAGAGAGCGCGCAGGGGCGGGGAAGGCGGGGGAGGCGGAGAGGGAGGGGCAGGTTGAGGAAGGTGAGAGCAGTCTCTGTCTGTTATTCTCTCGCTCCCTCTCTCTCTCTCTCGCTCTATTTCTCTCTTGCTATTTCTCTCTCTCTCTCGCCTTTTTTTTTTCTCTCTCTCTCTCTCCTTCTCTTTGTCTCTCTCTCTCTCTCTCTCTCTCTCTCTCTCTCTATATATATATAATACTTATCTATCGATGTATATGAATATATATATATATATATATATATATATATATACATACATACATACATACATACATACATACAGTACACGTTTGAGTGTATATACACACCGGGGTACCTGGGGCCTGGGCCACGGGCGGGCACACCGTCCCAGATTTCCCCGCCCTCCCCCCCGCTTCGGCAGGGGAAATTTGGACCCCTTTGGAGGGGCCTCCCGGGCCCCCCCCCCGCCGCTCAAATCATTTCCGGGGAGCACAATTGAGCGACCAGAGCGGCCCAACGGGGCCCAAGCCACCTCACCGAAGAGCCCCCAAGAGGCCCCCAAGACTCCCCGAGAAGGATCCAAGATCCTCTCCAAGAGGGCCCTGGATGGCCAAAGTTGCGCCATTCTTGGCGGAAAACGTACATGGTCAGCATATCCGCTGTTTAGGTTTAACGTCCAAGACAGCCCCAGAGGACCCCAAGATCGCCCGAAGACGGCTCAAGAGTCCCCCAAGAAAGCCCCCAATTGGCCCTAGGAAGCCCCAGTGGACCCCCCAGAACGCCAGCAGGCCCCCAAGAGACCCAAAAGAGGCCCCCAGAAGCCCCCCAAACAGCCCCCCGTGGAAGCCCCTGACCCACAGCCCAGGCACGGTGGCGGTATGAGCGCAAGGCCAGTAGATGAGCAAGCCATGAGCCAGGCGTAGGGGGGTGACGCCGCAGGTGGAGCTCCCTTTGGGGTACGACCCGTATGGGCCATGTGCCGGGCGGGAGGACGCCATGCGAAGTTGCCCAATGGTACCATAGGTGGGGCTCTTTCCAGCGCGCGATTCGCGTGAGGGGCGTCCCGAAATGGGCGGGAGTTTGCTGGCGAACCTTGTCTCTGGAGCTGTGGGTGGTGCCCCCTGTAGAGCGCAATTCGCGTGAGGGGTGTGCCACAATGGGCCTATTGGGCGACCTTCGTGTCTATTGGGGGCCTACGGTTGTTTAAAGGCAGGTTAGAGCGGCCTACGGGTGGCCCCCCACCTGGCAAATGTATTACTGAATGCATGCATATATGGGCGCCTGGATGGGTTTGTGGTGTATGGGAACTTGTGAAGAGGAATGATTCGATGGATGCCTGGATACATAAGTTCACACGTGTGTTATATGTGTTTCCCGGGCTGCCTGGATGAAGGTATTTGGATGAAGGTATTCATCAATTCCAGATGATGGGGCTTATGGATGTAGGAACGGACGGGTGTATGGATGTGTGCATATACAATTGTGGGGCAAAGCTGAAACGTACCAGAATCGAAGCGCGCGCGAAGCGCGCGACGACCCCTCCAGCCCCAAGAGGTCCAAGGCTTCCAGCACTTCCAAAGTGAACGCGCAACCTGGCCTTATGCCCGAGGACCCCAAGTGAATCAAGGCCTCACAATACGCTTTGGGATGAACACCTACACAAACAGCGGCATGCAATCACTGTGTTGAGCAAGATTTGTGTTAGAGTCTCAGACGGCCTGAAGAGAGCTTCAAGCAGCACAAGAGAGCTCCAACACGGCCCAAGAGAATAAGTACCCAAGAACCCCGAGGGGGCCACCGGAGGATCCTTACATGGTCGGAGAGGCCCCCCCGAGGGCCTCAAGACGGGCTCAGGTCCCCATGACGGGGCGAAGAGGGACCGGGAACGGCCGAATTGGGCTCCCAGAGGGTCCAAAAAAGGCCAACCAGGATTCCCTGAAGACGGTCCAGGAGGCCTCTGAGAAGGCTCCCGGGTGCAAAAAACTTGCATTTCTTATGGAAAACGTACATTTCTTTGATATTCGCTTCTTATGTTCCATCGGCGGCCACGTCGGCCCCAAAGGCTCTTCAAATCGGCGCCACACGGTCTACGAGGCCACCAAGAGGACTCCAAGACAGCCTCAAGAGAGCGTCGAGCAGCACAAGAGAGCTCCAAAACAGCCCGAGAGTCCCCAGGGGGCTCGAGGGAGCCACCAAATGATCCTACATGGTCGGAGAGGGCTCCATGAGGGCCCCAAGACGGCTCAGCTACCAATGACATGCCAAGAGGGGCGTGGGCTCCCAGACGTGCCACAGAAGGCCCAAAAGGACGCCCCCACGACTGTCCAAGAGGCCGCTGAGAAGGCCCTCCAGAAGCAAGCATCAAGCATTTCCCATGGAAAAACGTGTATTTCTGGGAGCTTTGTTTTTCAGTTCTACCAGCGGTCGCGACGGCCCAAGAGGTTACCAAAATGGGCCCCAGACGACCCCAGAGGCCCCAAAGAGGGTTCCAAGATGGGCTGAAGAGAGCTTCAAGCGACACAAGAGAGCTACAAGACTGCCCAAAAGAGCCCCTAAGAAGCCCGAGGGGGCCACCACAGGATTCCTACATGATCGGAGAGGGCCCCAGGAGGGCCCCAAGACGGGCTGAGCTCCCCACGACGAGCCAAGAGGGATCCTGAACGGCCGAAATGGGCCCTCAGACGGGCCAACAAAGGCCTCAAAGGACTCCAAAGGCAGACCCGGAGAGGCGCCAGAGACTGCCACAATGTTTCCAAAAAGGTTCCCGGCACGCGTTCCAGTAGGCACCCGTGTATTGGGTGAGTTGAGAGAAGAGAAGAGGAGGAGGACGAGGAGGAGGACGAGGAGGAGGACGAGGAGGAGGACGAGGAGGAGGACGAGGAGGAGGAGAAGGAGGAGGAGGGTGAGGGGGAGGGGGAGGGGGAGGAGGAGGAGGAGGAGGAGGAAGAGGAGGAGGAGGAGGAGGGAGGAGGAGCAGGAGGAGGAGGAGAGAAGGAGGAGGAAGAGGAGGAGGAGGTGGGAGAGGAGAAGGAGGAGGAGGAGCAGGAGAAGGAGAAGGACGAGGAGGATGAGGAGGAGGAGCTCCGTGTGAGGGGCGCGCTGCCCTTGGCGGCGCGCCGAGCTCCACAGGCACAGAACAACACGTTTGGCGTTGTTCTTGTAAGATTAATTATCTTGTTCTCTGATTCTCTGGCTCGGAGAGGGATGCTGAGGACGAGGAGGGAAGGGGAGCGCAGGATGAAGATGGCTCGAGAGGAGGAAGGAGGTGAAGTAATGAAGGAACCCAAGGAGGGACACACCGAAGAGCGGGGAAGACGGAGGAGGAGAAGGAGGAGGAGGTGAAGGAACAGGGATCCTTTTTCAGGGATCCGCCGACAAAAGGAAAAGTATGAGTATAAGATGATGGGAAGAGGGAGAACGGGAAGAGGAGGAGGGGAAAGGGACTGCAGTGGACCGCGAATGATGATGGCGATGACGCTGATGATGATGATTGTGCTGACGACGACGCCGACGACGACCAACAAGATGTTGATGGTGTGGATGATGATGTTGAAAAGTACGAGGACGATGATGGCGATGGTGATCACGATGTTGATGATAATGGTGGTAATGATGATTGATGTGATGGTGAAGGTGGCCATGACCATGACGATGACGATGAAGATGGCGGGGACGTGGATGACAAAGACGACGATGATCATGACCCTGGCTAGAACTTGAGCGTGCGCGAAGCGCGCGCGATGGTTCTAATATGTTTATGTGTATTTATGTATGCCGTTATGTTTATCTCGCTCTCTCTCTCTCCCTAAGTATGTACTCGATTGTTCATATATACATGCACTTCTACAGCAGACTGTGTGGACCCACACTGCATCCGAGGATCGAAGTTCCAAAAAGTTCGGAAATTGTCTTTGGCCATTGGAGGCTGTCTCGCCTCGGCATGCTTTTCAGCGGCATAGTCTTGGAGGAGTGGCCTTAATGGTTCCGAAGGGCCGCTGGAGGACCGAGTGATGACCCGAATGTTGGACCTCGTCTGAAACGGAACAAAAAGAAAACACGAAGGACGGAGTTTGACAGTTTTCTGCCTCCAGGGGCCTTTAGCGGGCCCCGAGGTTGTTTACAAGCAGCCCGGGATGAAAAACAAGTCCCAGGTAGAACATGCAGACTTCCAGGGGTTCACGTTGTGACAAAAAAATGAAGTGCGACGTCGGAAGTCTGGGGAGGAGCGAGGACGAGGAGGAGTGAAGCAATTGGAGCAGCAAGTGGATAAGGGGAAGACGCTCCAGCCTAGAATCTAAAATTTGGCCAGCGCAAAAAGGTAGATAAGGGGAGGGAAGGGAGGAGGAGGGCGGAGGGATGATGCTGTCGAGGCAGAGAGAAACGAGTAGGAAGAGGAGGAGGAGGAGGACAACAGGGGCAGGTTGAGGTGGCAGGAGGTGGATGCGCAGGACAAGGATACGGTCAGACCGAGGTATGAGATCGAGGTCGTTCGGGGAAAGTACTCGCCGGTCGTTGAAAGTGGGTATCTGGAGACTCACAGATCCCAATCTATTTTAGGCGCCTCCCTACTTCAAGGTTCGAGTGGCTGTCCTTTCTACTTCATCTTCAGGGGGCGGGCGGAAGCCCAATCTACTTCAACGTTTTCATACTTCATGTTTCTACCCACATATTCCGACCGACGGGTAATGTGTTTCGTGTTTGTTGGATGTTATTGTGCATTGGGAGGGAGGGCACCCTCGAATATTCTGCAGCCAAGCCGACGCAGGGCCTCATGTTCTTGAGGAATGATCGTCTGCCCGAAGAGCATCCCTCAAGAACATGAAGCCTCTCCGCCGGCTTAAATGCAGAACACTCGAGGGTGCCTTCCCCCAGGATGCACAAGAGCATCCAATAATCACGAAAACATGCTCAGCAAAGAGATAGACGAGGGGCAGGCATACATTTTAGCCGCGCAGTCATTGAGGCATCCGTTAGACAGACGCGGGAACATGCCATTGCAGTCAGCTTGTTCCGCATGTTTCATTTCGGCTTGTGCGTTTTCCGCGAGTGGTCGCAGACTGCAGTGAGTGAGATGAGCGAAGTGCTGCTCATCGAACAAACATAAAAGAGATGGTCACCTGCAGGAGCTGCCCAGCCCGGCGCGCGCCTGCTCGGCAGGACGTCGTGGACCACATCTGCAAGCTGGCCAAGAAGGGGCTGACCCCCTCGCAGATCGGCGTCACGCTGCGCGACAGCTTCGGCGTCCCGCAGGCTGCGTCCGTTCATCCTCATCCTTCCTCCTCCTCCTCCTACGATCCTCCTCGTCGATCCTCCTCGATCCTGTTCGATACTCGATCTTCTATCGTCGATCGGCGTCGGCGCGGCGGCGCGGGCAGGCAGGAGCTCCGCCAGGTCGCGGCGGCAGGCACCGCCGCACGCTGGCGAAGGCCGATGCCAGACACCCGACGCCGATGTCCTCCTCGTCGTCCTCCTTTCTCCCCGTCCGTTACCTTCCCAGACGGGTGTCTTTGTGTTATGGGGGGGATCGATTCCAAGCTTTTTGCCTGGCCATCCCTGTTGTTTGGCAGCGCTGGCGCCCTGCACTCGCCTTGACCTTGTTCTCGAACCAGGCTGCTGCGGGTCAATCCGCCGATTGGAGTAGGGGCGCGTTCCTTCAACGCAGGGGGGGAGCGGTTCGGTTCGGCTTGGTTGGGTTCCAAAGTGCGTCCGGTTCGGTTCGGCTTGGTTCGGCGCCGGAATTTTCCGGTTCGGTGCGACTCGTCTCGTCGTTGTGAGGGCTTTTGGCCGGTTCGGCCCAGTTCGTCATGCGTTTGGTTTTGGTTCGGCCCGGTTCGCCACGAGGCGCCAGGACTTCCTTTCAGGGCCCTGGGATTTATCTTCGGGGCTCCTGGTCCGGGATTTACCCTCAGGGCTCCGGGACGGACCCCCAGGGCTTCCCAGATTTCCAAAACGGCTTGGCGACTTACTTTTCGGGGCCCCCCGGGCATCCAGAACTTCAATTCGTCTTCCGACTTTCCAAACGGTACCGATTTTCCCGGGCCTCCGGGACTTCCAAAAGCGGCTCCCTTATTTTTTCGGGTGCCCCCGGGCCTCCGGGACTTCCAAAAGGGCTCCGGGACTCCTTTTTGCGGGGCTCTTCGGGCGTCCGGGACTTATTTTTTCGGGCCAGCCCCGGCCTCCGGGACTACGGCCAGGTCTCTGGGACGGGCCCTGGGGCTCCGGGCTGGCTCCGGTTCGGTTCAGTTCGGTCCGCATCGGTTCAAAATCGAGTCGGGTTCGGTTCGGTTCGGTTCGCTTTCGCAAATCGCGTCGTTCTGGTTCGGTTCTCGTTAAGAAAGTACCAGTTCGCGCCAGTTCGGTTCATCCCAGTTCGGTTGGGCCGGTTCGGTTCGGTCCTGGATGTTCGTAAACGAGTCCAGAGCAAAGCATGCATCCATGTCCTTCTACACTTTTCCCGCCCTCCCCCCCTCGCCTCCCTCTCCATCCTCAGTTTGCCCATCCTCCCTCTCCCTCCTCCGCCTCCTCTTCCTAAGACAAGGGGGGCGACTCATCCATCACGTCCTCATTATCGTCTTCGTCATCCGTACGTTGTTCCTCCTGCTCCTCCTCATCCCTCGTCTCTCTGGCCGTCCTGTCCTCACCGTTATCCTCGCCATCCTCCGTCTCATCGTCTTCCTCCGCCTCCTCGTTATCGTGTTCGTCTTCCTCATTTCCGCCCAGTCATTGGTCGGGTCCGTGTCCTTGTGCAGCATATCATGCTTATCTTACTTCTTGTCGCGTTGTCAGGCTCTCGCCTGCAGAGGAGAGGGACGGGACCACAAACGAATGTTTCCTGCCCGCACCGTTCTCCTCGTCGTCACCCGTCTCCTCGCCCTCCTCCGCCTCGTCGTCATCGCATTCGTCCTCGTCCCCATTCCCGCTCCCTCGTGATTGTGGCCTGGTCCGTTTCCTCATGTGCGTATTCCCTGCGCCAGACTCGCATGTTGAGGATCGGGACCCCAAGCGAACAGGCGCCCGTTGCAGTCCATGTGGCGAGGCGCCGCGTGCATCTTGCACTTCACGTGCCCGGTCCGCGCAGTGCCCCAAATAAATGAAGGAGTCCAGGCAAACGAGTCTGCTCAGCCCTCTTGAGCCCCCTCCTCTTCCGCCCGCGCCTCCCCCCGCCGTGCCCACGGTCGGCCCCACCAGCTCTCTGCTCCTCCCGCGGGTGCATGAGAGGTGTTGCCTCCTCCAGGGTCCATCTCGATCCGATCGATTCGATTCGAGGTCGATTCTTGCTGGCCCGATCCGAATCGATTCCGATATTCCGACGATCCGATGCGGCCCAAGTTTTGCATGGCGCTGTTTGCGCCTCCTGTCGTAGCCGATCCGACCCGATCTCGATCCCGTGCCGGGTGCCGACGCAGCCCGATCCGATGTACGTCTCGATTCGACCCGAGGTGCCGAGTCAATGCTGACTGATCCTGCCACCCCCCCTCCCCCCCTCCCCACGCCGCTCTCCCAGGTGAGGTACGTGTCCGGGAACAAGATCCTGCGCATCCTGAAGCTCAACGGCGGGCCCCGGGCTGGCCCGCGCCGGGGGCCCGCGGCGGCGTGCCCCCGCCGCGGGGGCACAGAAACGGGCCCTGCACGGGGCGGGGTGCCGAGGCGTTCTGGCAGGGCTGTGGGATCCCGTCGCGCGGGGCCAGGATCGGTGCGATCGAGATGGGTATTGAAAGAAGGGGTGCGAAGAGCGGCAGCAGTCCGTGTCCATTCTGAACAGGACTCGTTGTCGGCGTCGCCGCGTACGCCTTTCACGTGAGAAAGAGGGCCGCCTGCCCAACAGCGGCCGCAGTCGGTTTTGAACAACATTTGTTGTTGGGCATCGTACCCATTTTTTCCGTACCCAGTTCGGGAGTCCAAGTAGGACAGGATAAATCGTTCCAGAGCGTTCCAGAACGCTTTGGGAAGGCGGCGCCAAAACCGCTTGCTCTCAGAGACCTCCGGTGTGTGTCCTGGTCCGATGTGTTTGTTGTCCTGGCTTCGTCTCATCGTGGTTGCCCTGTCCGGGCCCCAGGGTCATCACAAAAATTGTTTTGGTCGAAGGAACTGTTCCTGGCGGAAGCTGGGGTCCAGGACCGGTTTCCCTCGGGAAACGCTTCTTCGATGCCAGTTAGTCGTCTCACGTTCACCCTTACATGGCCCTAGCGCAGAGGTCGCGGCCACGCAGTCTTCGATCGTCTTGGCTCTCTGGCGAGTGCTCCCTTGTGCGATCTGAAGCACTGTTACCGCGTGCTTGGCCCTGGCAGTTTGCACCACTGCGCCTGAGGCAAGAAGGGAGCCTGGGCGATCTGAGAGGGCGAGGACCTAGACCTTTTGGCGTCGTGACAGAAAACACGACAGAGAGTTGCTTGCATTTTTTGTCCACCGGGGGACACGTACTGGGCCGCAGGACAGTCAAAAAACGATTCGGGATGCAACAGTGGCCACGAGGGGGGAAAACCAGACCTCGAGGGGCTCACGTGGTGAAGAAAACATGACGCCGGGGGGTCTGGGGAGGAGGAGGAGGAGGAGGAGTAGGAGGAGGAGGAGGAGGAGGAGGTCACCTCCACCGATATCACGCATCCTGTGTCGGCCCACATTACACCGACTGCGTCGTACTAGTATGCTAGTCCATGGAAGGGCTTCGGTGGACAAGCACGTGTTGGCTCCAACACACGTTCTGGGGGTCATCGAGAGCGGAAGGGGGGAGGGAGAGGGGAAGGGAGATGGTGGCGTGATCGATGCCACCAGATTGCCAA